CATACTGATTTAATGATACAATTTTCTCACTATTTATATGATTTATTTTTTTAACAAAATGACATTTAAGACAAATTATAAATGAAAAGATGCAGGTACTCACGCTTTATTCTGTACTCGTTTTCTCAAGTTAAAGGCGGCAGTTCGGAACACTGAATCTACTCACTAGTGTAAAGTGACATCAATGAATTTGAATTTAGGTGTTTGAAAAAAATGCATATTTTTATTTATTTTTATCATTATTATTTCCTGCAACTTAATTCAAGCCACAAAAATTTTTTTTACTGAAAACTGCACAATACACTATTTTCAAGTGTGCATATACACTTACAGAAAACTGTGTTCAAACTGTAAAGATGTTTCTAATTTGCGAGGTTCCTTTATCAATCACAAACAGCCAATATTGCCTAGTGAGTTGATATGTGTTACTTGCCATAGATTTTCATTTCTAACCCTGCATACAGCTGTGAAATGTTACTGCTGGAGTGATGAGGTTCAGCCTGATGAGCTGCAGTTTTAATGAGAGCTGATAAAGCCATGTACGTTAACCGCTGAGCGCTGACGTGTCTATGCTTTAGTTTGTGTCAAGGCCCAACATCTGAAATCAACAGACGGGGACAGAAGTCAAATCCACATATACAGAGCATGAAGCATTAGCCGTTCATCACGATACACTGGAGATCACAGGAGGAAAACACGAGTAACACCAAGCATTTCATTAGTGACAGATAAACCTGATGATGAGAGCAGATCACGTCTGCTTTACTGTCGTCCCTTTGTTTTTCCATATACTTCTCTTATACAGATATAAAGATGAAAGGTGTAAAGGTCAGATTAAGGTTGTCTGGTTACATGATCATGGTGTTAGGATGATGATGATGATGGCCAGAACAGTGGCTCTATTCAAATGCACAAGCCCCCGGTGCTGGAAAATAAGCACCTGTCATGCGCCAAGCCGAGTGTTAAGTGCAGTAATTGTGGAGTCCGGCCGGGTGTTTGGGTGGCAGTGCGGCGGGAGCTGAGGGGCATCATGGCAACTGTTATTTACTGCTCGTCTGCCTCATTTCCCACAATTCAGTCTGGCTGCGTTACACACGCTGAGGGGCTGAAATCACTCCGTGTCGAGGCTGCAGGGAAAAAAAGACGACAAACAGTTAGATAATTTATTCGGGGTGTGTGGCGTCGTCCTCTGGCTGTGATCATGCCGTTCCCTCCGACACTGGGATTGTGGGAATGAAGGCACAAACACACACAGGGCCGCTGTATTACCTTTTTTAAATATGTAAAGTCTCTGAGAAGATGATAAATTTCACTCATATAATAAACATAAAATCGCCTGTTCTTAGTAGTCTAGCACAAACAGCAGCATAAATGAAACAGAAAAGCATTTACTGATTTTGACAAGCACTAAAAACACATTTACAATAAATGTATGAGTAAACAGCAAATGCAACATTCATCTGTATTCCTTTGGATTCATATAATGTGTCAAAGTGGATTCATTTATCAATTTATTTTCTTGCCTTTTGTTCCAATCATAGTCATTTATAATTGGGTCTTCATCTCCACCTAGTGGAGAAGTGAGGAATCACAGTTACACTCGCAGGACTGGTGGGGCCGTCTTTACAAACTGTTCTACAAACTAATGTCCTAAAAACTAAAACTAAAAAATATATATTCCATGAACCTATCAGTCTATGAGTGAAGGCCACCTGATGTTCCCATATACACAGACTGTCTCCTGCGCTCATTCTGCCGTGTGTTCGCATCACATCAGCTGGAAAGAGTAAAGGAGATTCCCCACCACAGAGCGTGAGAAAAATACTATATACATATATATATATATATATATATATATATATATATATATACAATAATTTACTCTCTGCATTTGAATCATAAAATTAAAGAAGTTGTAGTTTCTGTTAAATCTCATTCTTCATTAAGAAGTCTGTGAGCAGTTAGTTAGTAGCTCCAGAGGATCCAGTGAAAACTGATGAAACTGTGTTGATGAAGAAGCCGCGTGTGTCAGTGAGACAGATCTGCCCCCTGCAGGAACAACACTGCCACCAGCACAGCTGCCAGAGATCTGGGCTCAGCAGGTCTATATATATATATATATATATATATATATATATATACAATAATTTACTCTCTGCATTTGAATCATAAAATTAAAGAAGTTGTAGTTTCTGTTAAATCTCATTCTTCATTAAGAAGTCTGTGAGCAGTTAGTTAGTAGCTCCAGAGGATCCAGTGAAAACTGATGAAACTGTGTTGATGAAGAAGCCGCGTGTGTCAGTGAGACAGATCTGCCCCCTGCAGGAACAACACTGCCACCAGCACAGCTGCCAGAGATCTGGGCTCAGCAGGTCAGGATACACACGTCAACTCGTCCTGCTGTATGCTGGAGTTAATGCAATGCTACTGATCAATGTTAATGTTAAACAAAACAAATATTGTTGAAAATTCTCAAATGGCTGAAGCAATAATTCACTGTGAAGAATGAATGTTAAACTGCTGATGCAGCCTGTCAGAAAAATCCAAAATAGCAATTGTTAACTAGCACTTTATTTGGCTGAACATTTAATATATTTATTTATTTTATGATATCAGATAAAGGTAGACAGTAATCACCTGCTGACGTCTCTTTTAAACATTTCAAATCGTTAGTCTTACGCAAATTTATGATTATGTTCTGTCATAAGTGGATGAGAATCACTAAAGCTCCAACATTCATACATGTTTGAACTTAAAATGGGACTTGAGTGAAAATATTCTCTCAGGTTTCTGTTGTTTCTGTCATTCAGAAAACTGAACTCTACAGCCCTTTATTTAATATGTCAGTGTATCAGTACAACCCTAAAGACTGTGACTGAGTTGTTCTGTTACATGCTTTTTGTTGCTTTTGTAAGTCATTTCTACACATCTCTATGTGAAATGAGTTTGATCTGAAATAAGCCTGTGAATCTCAAATGTTTCAACAGATTATTTTACTGCAATTACGAGTTATTTTAATTTACTGAAAGTCTGTGTAATTATTCAGAGAAAAGGCACTTTGTGTGCTTGTCTTTAACTGCCACAAATGCATTTGGACCAACAGATTGTTGAGGATCAGACACTAACGAATCCTGAAGCTTGTTTACATGTACAACACAATGCAGAATCTGTGTGGCAATGCAAGAAAGACACATTTACAAATCGTCAGATAATTCTCTGGTTTTGACGTTTGAAACGTAAGCAGACATGCATAAGGACGTGGTGAAGGTGTTTACATGAAGAGTGTAATCTGGGTAATGGGCAAAAGTCTAGCTGATTGCTGACTGTATTGTGTTTAAACTGTTTATGATATTTCAGAGGTAAAAGAGCACTGCTGAGGGTGTGTTAGCTGTCATCAATCCATTAAGTTTGCCCAGTGGCAGATTGGGATTGTAAACACGCTATCAGTCAGTCAGTCAGTCGCTCTGCTTTTACAACCATGAAAGTGAAATCTTTTGGCATTAGGGTTATTATTATTATTTATTTGTTATGTGATGATTTGTTCTTAATTCTGAGTGCTTTGCAGATCCTCCGTCTGTGGACAGAACAGACACAATGACAGGAGGCCACTTGCTTGAATAAGATATTTTACAAAAACCTTGTTTACATATTGTCCACAAGACAAAATAATAGCTGAATTTATAAAAAATGAACCTGTTCGTAAGTTTACATAAGCTTGATTCTTATGTGTGTGATTGATGAACCATGATTGTTGTTGTTGTTGTTTGCGTGATGGTTGTTCATGAGTCACTTGTTTGTCCTGAACAGTTCAACTGCTGCTGTTCTTCAGGAAAATCCTCCAGGTCCTCCAAAACCAATGCTTTTGTGTATTTGACCCCATATTCCAGCAGTTGACTGTTTGATTTTGAGATCCATCTTTTCACACTGATAACAGTTGAGGGACTCATACGCAACTATTACAACAGCTTTAGACGCTCACTGATGCTCCAGAAGGAAACACAGTGCATTAAGAGCCAGGAGTATACAGGTGCATCTCAATAAATTAGAATGTTGTTGAAAAGCTCATTTATTTCAGTAATTCAACTCAAATTGTGAAACTCGTGTATTAAATAAATTCAATGCACACAGACTGAAGTAGTTTAAGTCTTTGGTTCTTTTAATTGTGATGATTTTGGCTCACATTTAACAAAAACCCACCAATTCACTATCTCGACAAATTAGAATATGGTGACATGCCAATCAGCTAATCAACTCAAAACACCTGCAAAGGTTTCCTGAGCCTTCAAAATGGTCTCTCAGTTTGGTTCACTAGGCTACACAATCATGGGGAAGACTGCTGATCTGACAGTTGTCCAGAAGACAATCATTGACACCCTTCACAAGGAGGGTAAGCCACAAACATTCATTGCCAAAGAAGCTGGCTGTTCACAGAGTGCTGTATCCACGACATTCTAATTTATTGAGATGCACCTGTATGTATTTATATACAATTTAGCAGATTCTGCAAGGTGTACGTAAACTTTTGATCACAACTGTATGTCCTGAGTGTTACTGACTTCACTGTGAGGTGAAAACACTTGTTTCTACATCGCATTCGCTCCCATTAAAAGCATTTTAGGTTGAGTATTGTGTTTATAATTTGCGGTTTGTTCACTCAGTAAAGCACATGCACACATTTAGACTCCATCTGTTGCTTTAATGATTCTCCACAGCAGTGCACACATCAGCCTCTATTTCTCCTGATGAGGACAGATTCATTTGTAAAAAAAAAAAAAAAAAAAAACCTTTTTTCATTTATTTTATTTTATTATATTTTTTAAATTACGAGATGTAGTGTCCTGTTGGGGGAGTATTTTCAGGAGCCTGTCAGAGTGAAATTGTTAGCTTAAATATTGTTAATTGAAGGACATTTTTATTGCTGTTCTGGTTCTAATTGTTTTTCTTTCCCATTTTAAAAATAAACTCATGCTGAATTGAAACACGTGCTGTGTGTGTGTTTGTCTGCAATAAAATTAATGCTCGTATATTCGACAGAATAAAATCCCACAGAAGTAGGAAATAAAACGTGCCCTAAACATTACACGACGAAGGGATCGGGCTGTAGTGTTTAAGGAGGAAGAAGACGAGGGAAGAGGTGTTTCTCCAGGCCCTTTCTCCTCTTTCATTATTTATTTCCTTATTAACTGCGATCAAAACATTGATGGTCGATCGTCCGCCGCTGAGCTCGAGACCCGCGGAATATCGTGCAGTCTTTCTTTCACGTCTGTGAGTGTGTGTCGCGATGGCTCGCCCACGGCCCCGGGAATATAAAGCTGGAGACCTGGTTTTCGCCAAGATGAAGGGATACCCGCACTGGCCGGCGAGGGTGAGTACGAGCAGCAGCCGAGCGGAGCGGCGCGGAGGCCGGTTACCGGAGCGCGGGGCGGCCGCTGCACACTCGAGCCTCCATCTGCGTACAAATAAGGGCAAAAACGGAGGGAAAGGAATCATAATGCATCAGTAAAAGCGTCCGACGCGCGGATCGTGAGCGTCAAAGCGTGTCTTTGTGTGTAGTGTGAGATGATCCGCTCGTTCTCGTCGTTCGGGGCTCTGCGTTATTTCAGACGTTTATGGAGTGCTTGCATCTCGGGACGGGTCTGGTTCGGAGTTATTCGGATGTGTGTTGGGTCTGTTGGTGTGTGTTTGTCGCTGATGTGGTTATTGGGGAGCAGCTGCTCCTCATCTGGGCCGTGAAGCGCCGTTCGGCCCGCGCGGAACCGGAACAGATACCATTCCATTCAGAACCGCCTGAATCACGATCAACCGAACCGTTCCGTTCCGTAGCGTGTATGTATGAGATGATCTGGGCCCAAAATAGTGTTTTAGTTTCAGCTTCCTTTCAGAACCAGCCCGGATGTTCTCAGATCAGTGCTCTTAAAGATCAGTATCCCCGAGATCCACAGAGTGCTGCTTCAAGTCTTCATTAAAGAAAACAAGCTTGTAAAGATGTAGAGCGTCTATTATGTGAAATGAGGTGAAATGCATCGGTAAAACTGGGCCAGAGCTGATCTGTAGGGTTAATGGGTGAAAACCTATTAAAAACTCACATTCAGAATAAAGTTCCTGATCAATGTGAGAGTTGAGCGCTGAACTGTTTCGTCCTGATGCTTCCAGATCGATGAGCTGCCGGAGGGAGCCGTGAAGCCACCAGCTAATAAATACCCCATCTTCTTTTTTGGTACCCATGAGACGTAAGTCTTGTGTGTGTTTGTGATTCAGTGATACGGTCCTGTGTGTTAATGAATAAACCACCAGTAATCAGACAGCATGTGTGTCTCCTGCGTCCCGTAGCGCCTTCCTGGGCCCTAAAGACCTGCTGCCCTACAAGGAATATAAAGACAAGTTTGGCAAGTCAAACAAGAGAAAAGGATTTAATGAAGGCCTGTGGGAAATTGAAAACAACCCTGGTGTCAAATTCACTGGTTACCAGGTGAGTACAGTACTAGTACGAGCTCAGGTGAGTGCGAGGGTCGCCTGATCCCAAACCTGTGCCTTCAGGTCATGCAGCAGCAGAGCTCGTCTGAGACAGAAGGGGAAGGTGGGAACGCAGCCGACGCCAGCAGCGAGGGCGAGGAAGAGGAGGGCAAGATGAAGAGGGACAAGGTCGGATCCAAGCGGAAAAAAAGTGCATCCTCAAAGGTACCTGAGCAGCTTTTAACCCATTTCTGTGAGTCTCATGTCAAGTTATTTTTTATCTTTATAGCACTTTTCAGAATCGTGTGAACATTGAGAAACTCCATCAGGTGTTTAGATAGTGGAGAGAAAACAGGGCCCGGACTCTTCCTCCCGTGCATACGGCAAATATGATCTAGTTACATAATCTGCGGTGTGTGCACTGAATATATGAAGTGATTCAGCTGTGTTAAGAATGAACATGTTCAGTTGAGTTGATGCTAAAGATCACTTCAGGCTCCAGGTCAGTAGGGGGCAGAATATGCCACGGGATCACTGTCAACTGGCGTGTGAAACCGAGACAATAGAAAATGAACACATCATACTGAGTGTTTGAGATCAGAGAGATCTCTGTTTTTCCCCGTAATGATGCGACTACATCCACACACCTGAGTCCTCTGTTCAAATGAAACGGGTCCGTGTCTGATGAAGCAGCTTAGGAAGTGCATGTGGATTTCCTGACAGAGTTCAGCGCTGAACGCTTGTATCCTTCTCGCTGAGCCTTCACTTAGCAACAGCTGTTGCCTAGCAGCAGAGTCCTGTGCGCTCACACATGTAGTGAAGGTTACCGAGCTGCTAGTGTAGTGTAGTGGCATGACGCAGGGCAGCGATGTGAGAATGAAGCTGTTTTCACTCTGATCTTCTCCTAGATGTCTTCCAAGCTGTCCAGGAAGGGTTCAGATGAAGATCTGGAGAAGGATGGGAAAGACGAGCAGAAGAGCGGATCTGAAGCTGGTGACCATGACAACAACATCCAGAACTCTTCAGACAAGACGTGCAGTCAAGGGGTAAGAGTAATGAACATGTGAAGAAGATCTTCTGTTTGACTTCTTCAGCAGTGACGGCATCGAGTTCATCTGAAGTTCATATATAACCATGTTATACTTTATAAACACACAGTAACAGTGATTGCGTGAAATGGCTAATTACAATGTTCACTCTCACCACTGCCAAAAACTGCGACGTGTGTCACGTACCAAGAGTTTTTCAACGCTGTCAGTGAGTGTGTAATAATGAGCTCACGGATGAACGTGACGTCAGCAGATGAGGAATAGTCCTCGACTCGACCCATTTTACAGTATGAGAGAGATACTGAATGAAGTCCACAGTCACAGCAGAACGAGTGTGTTTGATGCTGCTCTTCTCTCTTCCAGCAGAATCTGTCGCTCCGGGAGGATCACTAGACGATCATCGGACGACGGCTCGTGATGCTGATATGTGATATTGTAAATGCATCTTATTACGCTGATCGCTTGCAAACTCCCACACATTATTATCTGGTTCAGTCAAACACACACACACACACACATACAGTAAAAACACAACGTCCAGGAGTCACACACGCGACCGTCATTCCTCTCTGCTGTTTTGAGTTTAGAGGTGTAGCTTTAGCCTCGAACCCTGAACCGTCCCGATCTCTGTCATTCCTCTCGTGCCACTCATTAACACATGTCGTGCTAGAGATTTCTTTCTTTTGCAATGAACAAAACACTGTAGGTCAGACATTCGTCTGTTAAACAACTCAGCCATCTTTCATGCTTTTATCAGAGAAATAAAGAGTGGAAACTGTAGAATCCGTATGAAGTATCGTGCACAGAGTTGCGTGCTGTAACTCCATATTATCTCTGTACATTTGATTTGGGTGTAGATTCTAGGAGCTCTGTACTATTATCCCGATGCTAGAGGTACTGCTCATCTTTTTAAGACGTGAAATATCCGTTCGTGTGTCGGTGGGTTGGTTGTTTTCTAGCCTTTCTAGTGGCATGCTGGCTTCTGTTTCCATTCCGTAGCTCTGTTTCGTCAGACGGCGCTGATCCTGTCTTCTTCCCGACGGAAAACATGCCCTTGATTTGTTACATTTTTATTTCTTATCTTTGTTTATATAAAGAATATATTCTATTTATTTTTGATGATCGTAGATGGCACATCTGTGGTAAATTCGCACTCTCCAATGTGGTTTTCACTTCGTTTGAATTTTTATTGCCCTCATAGATGTTGCATTTTCAAGGTTTGTAGCTACATGTAAATTGTTTTTCCTGTTTATTAACAAGAATTTTACAGAATAAACTCATTGGAATGCAAAGGGTTTCTGTTGTTTTCTGTTCTCTCTGCTGTGTCTTTATATAGTGCTCAGGAGAACAATCTCGTTCTTTAGGGTTCCTACAGTGTTCGTTAGTTCTTGTCATCTTAGTAGTGGCGTCTCAGTGTGAATCATGGCATATTTGTGTCTCTGTAACAAACTCGTTAATGTCACCATCAGACCAGAGTTGTTTCTCCTCATATGTTCTGAAGCGTGTGCTTGACTGAATCCTAATCAAGAGTCCAGTGGCTCCATTTTTCCTCAAGCAATCATCAGATCCTCACCGAATGTGGCTTAAGTCATCTTCAGACTAAAGTGGACTTCAGACTTATTTAATGCATCAGAATTTATTTTTGGCTGGTATCTTCTGAACTGTTTAGCCTAAAATAATGAGACTGGTCTTTTATGTTTTTTGGGCAGAGTTGATCGTTACCCAGTGCTTCTGGGTCATTTTGCACATTACTAGTTGTTTTCTGTAAAAAGAGTTTTACACGAGTTAATATATCAAGATGACGCTGGATTATGTGTCATTGGCATACTTCTAGGTATGTAATGTGTGTGTATATGTATATAGATATGTACAAAATATGTTTTTATTGATTTGAGAGTCAGCCATATTGCCTGTCCACCGGTTTGAATATCATCGCAAGCATACTCGGTCAAACTCTTCAGATATTCACCAGATTTGGCTCAGATCATCATCAGACCATGATGGCAAAAAGTTGTTTAATTCTTTTTGATATATCAAACTATTCTTGATTGTGGCTTTTCCTATAGATTTGCTACTGTTGTTCGTGACTATCATTGCAGGTACGTTAACATTTATTATTGAAGGCAGGATGAAACGAATAAATATAAATACTAGACTATATCAAAACAAAAGTCCCTGCTAAAAAGCCCTTGTTTCTAGAGCATGTTAACACGAGTATGTTCATTCATCAGCAGTGGATCGCTAGGAACTCCGGGCCACTTGCACTGATTTTGCTATGGGGCCCCCATGTAGTAAATGTTCCCATGTGGAGCCCAGATGAACTCAATCAAGCTATTATTATTAGTAGTAGTATTCAGCATTAGGGGCATATATATATATATATATATATATATATATATATATATATACACAGTGGTATTTGTCCAATAGCCATATTTACAGTCGTGTATGGACAGTGTTTTGTGTTGTTGGAGACATTATTTCTCCACATTTATGAAATGGTGTGTGTATTTCATCCTCCTGTTCATCTCAGAGTGATGTGAGAAACCTGACAGAAAGTTCATTATTAACTGAAGTGATTCACGAGTCTGAAAAACAATCACACCATCTTTTTTGTTCTGCAGTTGATCACAAGGATGAAGTTGATCCACTGTCTGATTATCTTTAATATTCTCAGGAGAACTTGAAGTGTGAAAAGACTGCATCTGATCTGATGCAGTGAAGCATTTGAGTTCTGTAATGAACAGCAGACCAGACGGAGCTCAGTGGTGATTCACTAGCTGCAGTTCTAGACCATAGAAGTGTAAAGAGAGCAGATGAGTTTGTGTTATTCTGCATTATTTTATACAGTATTTAATGTATGTAGAACAGTATTAATTAAATAAAATAGCAGTCGTGTTGGTAAAGTCGATAAAAGGCCAGAAAGCACACGTGATTTTAATCTGAAATCATTTGATTTTATTTTGTCACACACACATTTACACAAAACCACAGTCTCTTCTCATTCTTCTTGTAATATTTATTGTATGTAATGTCTGTGAGACTGTAGATGTTTGATTCTTCTGTGCTTCTGCTTTTCCTTCCAGTTGACTGTATTTGTGTGACGAGCTGCTGCCCGAGGCTCAAAATGCTGCTTTAAAATAGATGAACATCAGCCACAATGAACACACACACCTAAACACTCTCTCTCTCTCTCTCTCTCTCTCTCACACACACACACACACACACTGAGGGCAGGATATAATTTGAACTGCTTTATTTACAAAGGGAAGTGTAATTCCACCAAGGAAAGGAATGATCAAACAAACATCGCACACTAGGTCAGACGCCGTCGCCGTGGGTCAGTAACGAGACCTCTGGCCGTGAGACTGAGAGCCGGAGTTCCGTTCATTGCGGCGGTCCGGGAAATGATGCCCGCGGGGCTCGTGCTGCCGCTGCTCCGGGAGTCTAACGGGAAACACGCAAATTCATTCAGCAGCAGCCACACATGCATCTGTCTTACAGCGCTTGATAACTGCACTCACCGTCTGTCCCTGTCTCTGCGCCCGCGCGCCGCTCTCCAGTCCTCGAGCACGGGCGGCGGGTCTGGCTCGCGCTGCCGGACCGCTGGAACTCCGCGTCCTCCGCCGAGAAACGCGACGCGAACTGCACGTCATAGTCAGTGGCGCAAGACATGGCGCTCGTAACAGAAACAGGTGCCTAGAGACTTTAGCAGACCGTTTCAGTATGACTGACAAACAACAGCGTTTAAACTGATTACGGTAAAATCTCACCTGCGCAAAAGCCGAATACCAGCACGACACGTGACGTGCAACTCTTATTTCATTCCCTGACGGCTTCACCGAAGGTTCCGGCAGACTGAGTTCCCCTTCCTTTCACACGCTTCACAATCAACGCACCTTTTCTGATACACTTTATATCGCTCTGTGAGTTTCTTATTGCGATTTTTTTTTTACGTTAATACCAAACGTATTTTGCATGTCAAGTGTGTGTGTTTTTTACTGACCATCGGCTTTTGTTTAGGGCTGGTTTAATTAATAATGTAGAAGAGTTGGATCAGTTGCAGTTCTGCAGCCGCGGAACATTTGGATTTCTTCAGAAATGTGAGTACGGGAGAGTTAACCAGAGACTAGGAAACATAACTAACCAGTTTATCACTTTGTCCAGTTATCCAAGAGTGAATGTAAAGATCAAGCTGGATCAAAGCGACGACGCGTTGGTTCTGTGTGTGTGTGTGTGTGTGTGTGTGTGTGTGTCTCTCTCTCTCT